GCGTATATATATATATGTGTGTGTGTGTGTGTGTGTGTGTGTGTGTGTGTAAATAAATAAATTATTTTTTATTTTATTTTTTATTTTTTTCTGTTGGACAGATTTTTCTGGCTCACCACTCCATCGCTTTAAGAAGCCGGGATCCAAAAACTTCCAGAACATCTTTCCTCCCTCTGCAACTCTTCACCTCTCCAACGTCCGGTAGTACATCCACTACACACGTTCATCAAATCAGTGAGATCACTTTGGCTTCATGCTACTCTGCTTCAAGACCTTTAACAGCTTGTCTTTGGATGTCCAGGGATGCAGTCGGAGAGGATGACCTACGTCTTCTGTTCTCCAACAGTGGAGGAACCGTCAAGGCCTTCAAGTTCTTCCAGTAAGAAGCACTTCACTGTGACGTTCTTTCGGACACACCAGGCAGTGCACTCTTCTTGAACTGTTTGTCTCTTTCCTCACCAGGGATCGTAAGATGGCCCTGATCCAGATGACGTCAGCAGAGGAGGCGATCCAGACTCTGATGGAACTCCACAACTACGACATGGGAGGGAATCACCACCTGAAAGTTTCCTTTTCAAAGTCTACCATCTGAGCCCCACAGCTGACTCCTAAACCTTAAGATCTATGACGAGCGAGGAAGTCACTACCATTTGTCGTCTCTTCTACGTTTTCCGTTAAACCTCCTCTGCGTTTTCCCCGACCCTTTAATTTGACAGTACGATATTGTGTGTCAGTGAAATGTGCTTCGATGTCCAAAATCTTCAAACGCAACGTAACACATTAGAAATGTTCAAGTATTTCGGGTAAAATATTGAGAGAAATCCAAAATCCACAGAGCAAATATTCTTGCCCAGTAGAAGCAGCACATACATCGGACTGTGAGCATCTTAAAGAGCAACTACAGTGTTGTGTTTATCTCCCGTGGCTCAGCTCGTCACCTGGCTGCAGTGATGTAAAAGTACAGCGTGACATCACTGCTGGGTGGGTGTGGCTACAGAGCACACTAGCACACTGTTGACCAAAGCCTGCTGTCACTCTTTAGAGCAGCGGAGAGTTTTGAATTGAATCTTTTATCATTTGAAATACCTGTTGTTTTTTTTTTGTTGTTTTTTTGTTGCATTGCCCTATCCACCTATCAATCTAGTCGGAGTCACTTTTTCCTTGAATTTCCAGTTGAGGCTTTGCTTCCTGTGATCTGTTTTTTCTCTGTACATTGTGTCGCTACTTGAGCCACCTACCAATTCTTTAGTGTTCCCAATCAAACACCGTTTTGATCCCCAAACTCCCATCCGATGTCCGTGCTGACCGTTCTTTGTGGTAGTAACGCCAACACATCTCCATCATGACAGACTCATCAACTCCACGTCGTCTACCGCGTGCCGACTCGCTCCTTTTCTGGTAGGCGGCCATCGTCGGCGTGCAGTTTCTGACACATTCTCAGTGTGCTGGTTCACGTCTCCAAATGTTTGTGGACTTTGGTTTTTTTTTTTGGTTTTTTTTACAGCATTTTTCCAAGCGACAAGCATGAGGGAGTAGATGGGGTTGTTACTAAAGGTTCAAGTTAAATGTAAATATGACCAGTTTTACATTACCAGCACCAACTTTTATACTTTGTAGGCATGTTGGCGCCCCTTCACTAGAACAGCTTGCAGATTTGACCATTTTGCTGCACTCTAAAATGTAGTTTAAATACCAGATGGAACTACGTTTTGAGGACTTCAGTACCCAGAAATCCTTTAAAGGGAACTACTTGTCGTGCAGTTTCTAAATTTCAGAGGCAGTTTTTTCTTAACTGGCACACTTTCAGTTGTTTGTACACGATCGGGTTCAAAGCGGCATCGTACCACTTCTGTGAGGACGTTTCCTTTCTACTAGTAGTGACATCAACACATTGCTGACATGCACTAATAGTGAGGATCCAAAGCTTTCATCAAAGAATAGAGGTTCCTGCAAAGTTTAAATCCCAGTCTTTTACAGACCATGATGTTAGTGGGTGCACACACACAGACACACACATAAAACATACACAGGATGCATGCTGATGCTGTCTGTTTGGACACGGTTTCATGTGATTCTGGTTTTGGGAGGAGGAGGCCTGTTGGGACCAAAGTACATGTGCCTTTAGTCTGTGGTCTGATTTGATCTGTTGTGTCTTAAAACGTATTATTTTACCGGTGAAGTCTGTTGATCTTGTGTTGTAGACCAGTAGAAAGTGATTCTTTAGTTCTTCTTAGATAGAAGTGGACCTCCGTTTGTCTAACATGAAGCAGAGATGCTCAGAAAGCAACTGAGGTCTTCTTCAAAGTAGCTTTTTATTTAATCGTCTCTGGTTCTTTACTTACAGTTTTTCTTTTTAGCAGATTGTTGTACATTTTCTGCTTAAAATAATTTTTTTGTTGTAGCAAAATTTCCAACCAGCCCAAATTAAACACGTCTTTTCTGCCAATGAGCCCAGGTGTGTGTGTGTGTGTGTGTGTGTGTGTGTGTGTGTGTGTGTGTGTGGGGGTGGGGGTGGGTGTCGGTTCAGGCCTCTGCTCTCATCTGTATCTTATCCGTCAATAAAACTTCTCTCACTCTGTTCAATTCTGTCTCTCTGCTCTCACTTCTTCTTCTCAACTTCTTCCTCTTGCAGCTACGTTTGTGTACGTTTCTGCTGAGACACCAAAGCAGGCCGCTGGTTCCCACCACGAGAGCACGGTCACACATTAGTTTCTCCACTGATGCTCTGGTCCCGTCTGTGCAGTCGGGTTTCTCCTGTTTCAAATCTCTGCCATGATTTTTGAACCTTCAGCAGCACAACACAGTTGTTGGTTCAGTCTTTGTGGTCCGGTTGGAACAGATGAGAAGAATCTGTGCTCAATAAAAATGCAACTTAATTGTGTATGAAACCTTAAAGATAGTCAGACTTTCTGAAGGGATTTTCTTTACACTGAGCATTATTTATTTATAGTAAATTAATTTTTATATCACGTAGAGACAAGCTGAGAGGGCTCATTGATTTTTTTACACTTCAGTATCTCCTTTGCTGAACATCTTAAAAGCGCACTCATTTGTTATTTAAAAGAAAAGCTTTGTCTCGTTCAGTTAAACTTTGTGAATATTCATAGGTGCCTGTGTTTTTATGTGTTTTAGGTCCGACCTCGGCACATATGGACCATAAAACCAAAACACTTTAAAACGACAGCGTAACCTGCAGTGAGACATCATGTGTTCTCTCTGCTGTGTCACTGGTACCAAAGGAACCGGCCTGTGATCTAAGAGAGTCGGCTCAATGCCGGATCAATCTGGACGGGGACGTGAAACATGGACATGGTGATAATGGAGCAGTGCACGAGTAATAAGAAAACCTAAACGTTTGAATGTACAGACTAATAACCTGCTAATACCTGCCTTATTCTTCCTCTGATTGGCTCGTGCTCGCTGCACATTTAGGAGAATTTATGAAGGTTATTGCTGGTGAATAAGATTGGTGGAAGGTTGGCAGAGACTAATGTTTAAGTATGGCAGCCTTCCTGTATAGTGTTCTCATATATAACTATGATAACCTGATTATGGGAGATCAATGCCTTTTTGTTTTTCAAATGTTGCAATATGGAATAAAATTACAGATCCGTTTAATTTTTGTCGTGTCATAATTAAACTTAATATTAACCATAATGTTGCTGTGGCACACACATTAACAAGAGAAGTCAAAGGGTAACTTTATATCAGAGAGTCTAACATCTGCATATTCTGTCTGATGGGCCCAAATGTCACGTTTGAAAATTAATCACCTGCCAGTATCATGTACTGATAGAGTTCCTTTGAAGCAGGTCTCTTGTAAATATCCGGGATGATTCCGTCTCCAGTATGCTGGTTTAAATCAGAAGTCATGCTGCTGACACGCTGGACTCTGGCTCCATCACATCCCAAGGTTACCTCATCAACCAGAGCTGTGTAGTGCTGCTTTATTCTAAAGGAGAAATAGTGGGAGCCTTAAGGGAAACCTTTACTCTCATCTGTCTGTTCTTCTCCTTTGATTTCTTCATCAAACAGTCACTAATGAAGGTCTTATTGTGGCACAGCGAGTTCCTGAACAGGGAAGACAGAGAGCACAAAAGAGAGTAAATATAGATTAATGGACTCATTTTGGTTAATTACCAGTCTTTGGTTTAATCAGGCGTGATTTGGTCAGGCTGGAGCCTCAGCAGCTGCACAGATTGCTTTGTAATCCTTCTTTATAAAGTGTGAAGTGATCAGCAGGACTAGTAACACACTAGATAGAGCTCCATCAGGGGCCCCTGTCAGATTTAAGGTGAAAACAATTCCTTTTCCGTTCTACAGGTGACATGAAAATGTAACCTCGTTCTGTTTTTCATCCAAGGGACTCAGGAGCGACTTTGATTTTTGCTACACTAGAGTTAGCTTCTTAGCTCTTTAACGGACCTTTCTCCTTTAATTTTGTCTCGTCATAGCAGGACAAGTTTGTACAATTGACCCTTCGCTAAGTCCCGCCCTCAAACCAGCTCTGGGGACCAGGGTCCGACCAGACTCTCATGCACTTGTTTGAGTTTCTTCCTCTTCAGCCTGTATTAGTGGATTCAAACGTGTTTTAAATAGTGATACTCGTTACCCGGAGAGGTTGGAAGGAAATATATGTTTCTAAAACGTTTTGTTTCTACATAAAAAACCTGTGGGGCTAACACATCATTAACTAGCATTAGCATGAATATCTATCTTTATTATTTTAACCTGAATCAGTTTAATATCTTGTATATATCCTTCAAATTGGAAATCGCCTTTTCATTTTCCCCAAAATGATTTAATATGTTTAAAGAGTGCAGTTAGTGACAGTGTGGCTCCATGGTAGCTCTGACAGCTTGACGCAGTCGCAGCGGGGTTTAGTAAAGGGTCAGCTGCTATCATTCACCTCGACCACCGTAGTTCTGCTACTCGCTTGGCACACGGGAAAAGTGTCAGTTGGTTGCAATCTGCAACATCACCTCTAGATGCCACCACATCTCACACACTGCATCTTTAAAACACAGCTAAAGTCATCAGCTGGAAAAAGTATATATCTTATGTAAGTATATATCATCATATAATGATCAATAAAACATCAAATTGACTTGTTAGATGCAGACTAAAATACTAATCCAAGTACATTCTTGTGATTAGCAAACTATGTAATTTAGCACTGCTATGGCAGAGGAGACAAAACCTCTAATAAAACGTGTCATTTTCCATCTGAGTGTTGGTATCTGCGACCAGATGGGAGTAGAGTGGAAACTGGGTTGAGGGGGTATCCGGGGTCATGTGCTTTGGTGATTGCCATGTGAGCGACGGCTCTGTTATTGAGATCAGAGAGGTTGGGGGATTGGTGGACCAATGATTTTAGAAGCAGTGTGGGACACGTTCTTGTTGGAGACGGACAGCATGGTGAGAAAACAAGGGGAGCAGTAGAGTGTGCTTTTGCAAAGCAGTAACAGAAGGCGGGGGGGGGGGGGGGGGCGCAACAGAGAGTCTTTGCTGGCAGCGTTTGTGGATGTCAGTGGTGTGTGAGTCCAAACTGAGTTTATGGTACAGTGTGATTCAAAACTGCCAACCTGCTCGACTTTCCCCTCGGGGATGTGTTGGGGGTGCCGATAACCAGTCTTTTATTTTATGAGCATTCAGCTGTAGATAGTATCTGTTACACCACTGAATGAAATGACAGTATATAAACACCTTGTAGCGATCCATTTATTTTCATCGATTTATGCAGGACCCAGTCGAGAAGGCAGCATGCTAATCAGGGAATCCAGACGTCCCTCTCCCAAGCTACGTTTTCCAGCTCTTCTTCCCAGGTCATATGAGATACATAATCTCTAGTGTGTTCTGGGTTTACCCTGGGGCCCGGAAAAGCTCTAACGGGAGGGTTATGACAATCAGTAGCACCTATCACACCATCCCCCCACGCCGCACTGTGACACTTTGACCCCGTCACGGTCAGCCTGATTCAGAAATTAAGACTTTCTAAACCTGTCGACATCTAAGAAGTAGAACAGCAGAGCCGTGGAGGATCGTTGTATGTGCTTACATCAGCTTCTGTGAGGACTGCTGTGCAGAAAGGAGTTTTAAAAACCACGACAAACCCTGGTTCACAGCTCAGCTCAGACAGCTAAGGCTGGAAAGTGAAGAAGCGTGATGGAGTTGGGACATGGTTAGGTTTAAAGAGTCAAAGTACAGGTTTAGCAAGGCAGTGAGAGGCAAACTGAGTATCTGAGAAACTCCAACAGTAGCTCTCAGCAAACAACTCTGCTTTTGTCTGGATGATCACCAACTGCAAACCTAGAGCCCCCTCCCCCCCATTACTGACTTTCACCTGGCCAACCACTTGAATGACAATGGGATAGTGCTGAGTCAATCCCCTGTTACTCTATCCCCTCAAGGCCTCCACCATCCCCAAAAAACACAAGGATCACAGGACTTAATGACTGCAGACTCGCCTCCCTGAACTCTGTGGTTATGAAGTCTTTTCAGCGCCTTGTACTGTCCCACCTTGGAACCCTAACCCACTCCTGGACCCCCGTGCGGTTCACCTACAGAGCCAACAGGTCTGTAGACTATGCAGTCAACATGGTTGTCTGCTTCATCCTCCAGCAGCTGGACTCGTGAGGAACTTCAACACCATCATTCCGTCTCTGCTGCAGGACAAGATCTCAGCTGGGGAAACATGCCTCGCGGACGACACAACCCTCATTAGACTCATCTCTTGTTGGGATGACTTCGACTACAGGTGGGAGATTGACTATCTAGTGACCTGGTGCGGACAAAACAACCAAGAGCTAACTGCTCTGAAGACAGTGGAGATGGTCGTAGATTTTAGTCAATCATCCATCATCACCCAGGACCTCAAGTGGGAGCTGATCATCAGCTCTATCGTCATAAAAGCACAACAGAGGATGTGCCTTTTGAGGCAGCTTAAGAAGTTCAACCTGCCAAAGACAATGATGGTGCACTTCTTCACATCCTCCATTACCATCTGGTACACCGCAGCCACTGCCAAGGATGAGGGCAGACTGCAGCGCATCATTCGCTCTACGGAGAAGATGATTGTCTGCAATCTGCCATCCCTCCAGGCGGGCGAGAAATATTGTCGCCAATCCATCTCACCATGGACACAAACTCTTTGGACCACTCCCCTCTGGCAGGAGGCTGCTGTCCATCAGGACCAAACTGTTTCTTTCCAGCTGCAGCTGGCCTCATCAATAAGGCCCATTCCACCCCACAGACACGTTACATTGATTTAAGTCTCAACATCCATCGCAAAGAGTTACATTAATGCACATCTTTGGACATTGTTTGAATTATCATCTCTGTAAATAATTGCACACACTCATACAATATACTTCTAACTCTTGCACAGTCGATGGACAATATTTTGCCATTTAGTTTCTTGGCTGTTTGCAGTACTTGCCTATAAATAAAATGTTCTCTTTTATTGTAACACCAATGCAAATTCCCCATACAGTATGTGAAAAACATACTTGGAAATAAACCTGTTACTTATTATAAATGCAGTGTGGATGCAGTTCATCTGTGATCCATCCGAGGTCAGTGTGAGCCAAGTCCTGAAGTCTACTCTAGTCTGTCTGCAGAGTAGGAAACAAACTCAGAATAATTATTAGAATGGTTTATGGAATTAGAAGAATATTTTACTGACACCACAGAGACAGAAGACATCTGAAACCCCTGTATCACCAAGAAAACACTGGTTATATATACAGGAATAACACAGTGATAAAAAAGAGTTTCTTTGAAAAAAGACTCAAATATAAAAAGGTGTAATCTTTTATCTGTCATCCTCCAAAATGTGTCATAAAAGAGCCCTTACCACATGACCTAACGGACACACACGTACACATTATATTTCTGCTGACTTTTACTTTTACTTCACTACATTTTGCAAAGAAAACTGATACTTTTACTCCGATACATTTCCCCTGAAACCTTCGTTACTCGCTACAAAATCAAATCTATCTTTAGAAAAAAAATGAATCATGAGACCAACGTCGGGGACTGTGGTGGAACAGAGACTGCAAGCAAGCACGTTTGGTGAATCAGTGGTCCTAGCTTGCAAGTTAAATCATTGGTTAATCACGTTAATGCGCAATTTCAAACAAGTGCTCTCAAAGCCGTGGTGTTTAGATTCCCAGTGATACCCAGGATGCTATATGCTATAGCTAGCGAGCGACTACATGAGCAGAATTCCACTCTACGATGACTGATTTCATGATGGAAGCAGAAATGGAAGCACCTGCTACTCCCGCAACAAACAACGGTGGTGACGAAGACCAACACCCGTGGATCGCTAGCGAGTTAGTGAGCTGAGGAAGTGTTGACAGTTGTGCAGCACTAGTTAGCTAACTTAACGTTAGCTAGCCACCACACCATATGATTGACAGGAGCCGCGAGAGCGCAGCATTAGGGAAATCCTTCCCAGCTGTGCACAAGCTGTGTGTGAAGCTGAACACACCTCTACCTGCCTCAGCGGCCTGTGAAAGGCTGTTTAGCATCGCAGGACTAGTCTTCAGCCCAAGAAGAGCGAGACTGAATTCTCGCAATTTTGAAAACCAACTTCTTTTGAAGATGAACAG